CAGATACAGATACGGATACGGATACGTATAGAAGACAAATGGAAGCTTCAAAGTGCTTTTGTCAGTGTTTAAATTGAGGCGACGTCGACCCTTTTGAGTGGGATTTGTGTTGCGTAATTTGGCCAACACTTTGAGAACCTCTGACATGTGTCGGCTTTCGAGGGTCAAACAGACCCCAAAAACCTTCCAAGCGTTACGCTTTAGGAGGACTGGCTTTAAGGTTGGGCCTTGTCCGGAATTTCGACTAATTAAGAGAGGGCCAAGACCCGTCTGGCTGGCCCCAGACTGCGGATGGTTGCATTTTCCTGCCTTCGTGGCCAAGAGTCGGCCGATAAGGCCGCAAAGCCACAGCAGAGCCGCCTCGGGCTTTGTGCCACGTTTATCGGCAGGAAGTTGCACATGGAAGCACCATCATCATGAACGAACGACGAACGACCAGCCATCCGGCCCCGGCCCCGGGTTCGGGCTCGGGTTCGCTTGTTTTTCGATGCTTGAGACACGGAAACTGTTTTAGGATCGGGCGGTGGCAAAAACAGGCATCAATGTCACGTTCAAAGTGTCGAGTTGTTGCACTAACAAGGTGTTTATGATTTAAAGCGCCATTCGCCCCAAGGACAGTCCACAATGGAGGAGGAGGAGGAGGCGCTGCTAGCGGGTAGCTGGCGGCCCGGGCAGACAAAAGGCATCCACGACATGTCATGTGCCTTGAAGTGCAAAAAATGCCAGTCCTGTGCAGTGCCCTCTCGAATGGCGTTTTTCGTAGGCGTTTCGCCCGAGGGTTGCTACCCCTTCTCCATTCCCACCTCCACATTCCATTCGCCACAAGAAAAATTGACATGTTGAAGTGCAGTTAGGCGGAAGTTGTCTATCTGCCCCCCCAAAAAAAGGGTGTGGGCGTGACTAAATGCGGGTCGGCACGTGGGATGTGCGATAACAAAAAAGGAGCAGAGCGGAACGGAACGGAGCATAAAAAAGGGCTTATCTGTGTTCTTGGATTTTGATTTCGGTTCCTTTTTTGTGTGGGTGTGTGGGTGTTGCCATGACGTGGGCCATCTATCAAAACGTTTTCTCTTTTTTTTGCTGCCAGGTTGGCTTTTCCGAGGGGGGGTTCATAAATTAGCCGCAGCAGAGTGCAGTGCACAGCCGATAAGTAGGCAACACATTTGAGTGTGCTCTGGGGGGTGGGGGCCGTGGAAAAGCGCAGCTCCAAGTGGGTTTCCCTCTGCGGAGTGTCAAGTGCCGTTTGCGCTGTCTGCGAAGGTTCTTCGGGGGCTTATCATTGTCAGGCGGGAGACGCGCCTTGAGCACGCGCCACAGCGTATCTGTGTGAGGGGAGTACTTACGTGTGTGTGCAGGCCATGTTGCAAATTAAAATCAAGACAGCAGCAAAGCCCCAGCTCGAATGATTGATGGCTGTTTTTCATCGCACAACTGTAAAAAGTTCAATGATTTATGCTTTTCCCCAGAATGCTGCTCTTGTTGTTGTTGTTTCTGGCTAAATGATTGTTTTCCCCCCCCTCCTGGAGATCTCCTGGCTCATTCACTACTTTGCACTTTTAATGTATTTCTTGACAAGTCATGTTCATAACTCAGTGTCCTGTAAAATTCACAGGAGAAGGAAGGAGAGCGGTAGGGACTTCCCCTTGAAACTTTCCACTGGATAAAGTTCGAAATCAAAGTTTTGGCGCTGCTCGGTTTTTAGTAGTAGTTATTTTTGGGGCAGGACTTTGTGTTTTTGTTGTTGCTTTTGCCTTTGCTTTTTCGGTTTATTTCGTGCACAGAGACGCAAATCATTTGTCAAAATACTCGCAAAGAGCTGCTGCTGCTCCTCCCTCTCGATGGCTGTTTGCCGTTGACAAGCCAAAAGTTGTGCCAATTTGTATTAGAAACTTCGCTTGGGGCCAGGCCTGCGACCGTGCCGGAAATGGACGATGGCCAATGGACCGCCGACCAACGACCCACCTCCGACCAGGGACTGCTTGCCACTTTATGCTCCAAGAGAGCGCTCCGCTTTGCTCATCGCCAAAGTTCAGGGTGCGAGTGGAATATTTATCTTCAGAGTGTTTGCATTCGAGTCGCGGTGGTGCGTCGTACAGTGCGTGACGTCTCTATAAGACGGCTTGGGCTTCCACAATCGATGGACTCTAAACAGAGTTCGCAAATATTTGGGCTTCTAAACTTCGTTTGAAGTCGATTAATCATCGTTTGCTATCGAGCTGGCTGAGTTATCGGTCACTAATCGCATAAATTATCGTGTCAACTACTGTTGTTAGATAGTTACTTGTAAATGCGATAGATTTTCGATGGAATTCAACTAAAAAACATAGCAGTTCATTTGGTTTCCGATTAATAATCGAAAAAATGCCAAAAAATCACAAATCTTAGTTCTAGCTTACATCTTATAACTAATTCTACCAATTAAAACGTGTCAATATTATTTTCGGTAATTTTGTAATCAATTCGATAACTATTTCGCTGATTATCAAGTGAATATCTTAATTAAACTGTAAGTGCAACAAAAACTGATTATCTTTAATTGGTAATCTCGAAAGATTCTTCTGGATGTCACGCACTGTAGATAGAGATTTGCAGTTTCATCACGACACGGCCATCTCCGATTCATTCGACCATTTATTCTGTTTGTTGGCCATTAATTCCGATTCTTGTGTGGCAGTTTCCAGCTGTCAAAGTTGTTTGTCAACTGCTGTTTGTCATAATGCCCGAAAGTTTGAAAGAAGCGCCGCACATCTGACAGATACTTCTCGCACTTGGTTGAGTGTAAATTGGTGTACTTCTGCCTTCGCTGCCTCTGCCTCTGGTTTCCATTTTATGCCACTCGAAAATATTCAAGTGCCACTGACACTCGGCACTCCTCTTACCCTCTCCCCCGCACCCTCTCCCTCACGCTCCACATGAAATTAGCGCCATGGAGCGTGGGGGGGCTCTTTTGATGAACTGCACTTTTCATCTCATCGCGGGCCGTGAAGACAGAAAGTGTTACCGAATTGTGACAGCGCAGCTGCGTCTCGGAAATGAATTTACAAAAAATGAACTCCACACCGGCTTGGGGCTGATTGAGGCAGCAGGGGACTACTGCTGCTCGTGGCACTTGGCTGTGGCTGTTGCACGAAAGTTTCGGCCAAAAAACAATTAATTAAACTAATGACTCGCTGGATTTGGGCACCGGGTTTATTAATTAAAGGGTTTTGCTGTTCGACGGGGGGCCACAAGGCCGCTACGATGAGGTTGCCAAAAGGTTCCATTACCTTTAAGAATTATTGGAAATTAAGTGGCATTTTCCTCTATTGATTCGAATGGAATTTTAATGTTCTTTAGTTACATTTTCTTTCGAGTTTTTTCCACAATATTCCTGGGATTTTCCGCATTGCTGGTTTATGTTAATTCAAGCAAAAAAGGAACAATTCTTGTTCTAAATTATGTAAATTGTGTGGAAGCAATACATATAATTCTCTCGGTAATTCCCATTTATCATTTGCTAAAAACAAATGCACAGTACGAGTGGAGGAGGTGGAGGCATGACTCTCATACATATCGGCCTATCTATAGAATTCTCTGAGACTGAAATACTAATTACTGGCACGAGAAGCAGTTTTGCTCAAATGACGCCGCTGTCAGGCGGCAGGGCAATTTGTATAAATTTTTATTTATTTATTTAATTTTCGTTTCGAGCTGATCTGTGGCTCTCGGGCATGCCATTCGAGTGTTCGATGAAGCAGGGACCTTGAGCTACTCAGGGCACACCATCGCCCCACCCCTTTGGCCTGATTACGCCCACTCTTTCTGGGCCATAATTTCTCTCATTAATGCGAGGGCTGGCCCAGACCCAGCAGCAGAATGCAACCTAATACTGCTTTTGCGTGTGGCCAGCAAATCAGCCAGCACGTCCTCCCCTCCGTCCGCTCGGGTCAAGACATTTTCCGTGCAATTTCCCCAGCTGTCTGTCTGTCAGTCAGTCAGTCACTCAGGCACTGACTCCCTACAAGGGCACGCAAGGGGCATGCATCGAGCGCCATGCAAATTGATCAAAGGCTACAATTTCTTGGCTCTAATCTGGTAGTCGGACGGGGGGCGGCGGGCGGAGATGTTGTCAGCGGCTTGAATTTAATGACATGACCATAAAAATAGTTGCTGCAGCTTAACAATAAAATACCAAATAATTGTGGGCCATAAAAGTTAAGTTGTTAATTGTTTCGGCCACAATCCAGGCCTGGGCGGTACGGGGCGCCACATCGCGTGTCCTGTTTGCCGACACACATTTGCACACAGCAGGAGGAGAGTGAGGAGGGGGGAGAGGGGGGATAGGCAGCAGGAAGAAAGATGGCTTCGCTACCGAATGAATGGCTGTTGTTCTTGTTGTTTGGCACCCGCTGGCCAAGTTTTAACGAGCAGACGGCCGCCTGTCAATGCCCGGCCATATTTCACGGGAGCGGGGGCCCAAAAAAGGAGGACCAACTACAACTGCTTTTGGGCCCGGCCAAAACAATGTTAAATAATTCATTTGGCGAAAGCTGAAAGTTTTGCGTGAGAATTTCGCCATATTACACGAAGGGGGGCCCCTCCGGCTGCGTGCTAAACCGGAAATGAAGGCCCGCTTAATTGCCCTGAAGTATGCAGGCAATCGTAGGCCTTGTCCTCTTCGTCCTGGCTGTTGCTGGACTAATCTATATACTTTGCTTTATTGTTGCTCGGCAGATAATAACTGAGCAACTGTCTGTGTTGGGGCACGGCTCAGGGCGTCCCGTGGCGTCGTGGTGTCAATGAACCACGTTGGCAGAATAATTGCCAAGTCCTGTCAATGCCTATCGAACTTTATTTGTTGCTGTATTGGTGATGGACTGCCAGGGGGCGTGCCCCAGGGCGTACTTTGCCAAGTTCCTCAATAATTTAGGCATCGACACAGCACAGCAAAGGGTTACAGAAGTTCAAAATGTATCTATACGGGACACAGGATACAGAATACAGGATCTGGCAATATTTACCATAACTTTCGTCGACTGCAGCATAGGGGGGTGTGGCGTCGTTGAAGCCGAACCCGGAACCATTGCCCATTTCCCCGGCCACGGGAACGGGCCCGGGCACGGCGTTGGCGAAGGACAGAGTGGTGGCCGGCACCTCTGGCGGCTGATCCTGCTGCTCGATGGAGGTGGGAGATGTGGGCTGCTGCTGCTGCTCGTCGGGGTGGAGCTGGGAGGTGGTGCTGTGGGCGCTGGTGGTGGTCGATGCCAGGTTGAATTCAGTCTCAAGTGTTTCCCATCCGGAGCCGGTCTCGGCCTCAGCGTTGACTAGATCGGCCAGATCACGATTCGGGCTGCTGCTGCTGCTGTTGTTGGCCATCGGCGTTGGCGCCGTGAAGGGCGCCGGCGAGGAGGTGGTGGGCAGCGCCGTGGCACAGTGCTCCGCAATGCTGGCGAAGAGCATCAGCTTCAGTAGGGCTCGCAGCAGGGCGTGCTGGGGGCGTGGCATGGCGATTCGTTGTTGGAAGTCGGAGTTGAAGATGGTTTCTGTTGGGGTTTGCCCCTCTTTGATTCTCACTCGTTTTTGATTCACTTTGTGCGTGCTTTCGCTTTGTTTTGGAGAGCTTTTTGTGCGTTCTCGTCCCACCGTGCAGCAGGACTGAAAGTCTTTTGATTTTCTCTCGTTTTGCTTACAACATTTTGTGCGTTTGTTTTGTTTTTGTTGTCTGTATTTTGTGCAGTTTTTTACTTAATTTTACGATCGAGATTCACTCTAAATACTATATTTAAATGATTTCCATTTTGGCACTAAAAAATACTAGTTTAAATTAACGAATGCGGAAGAGGCGGAGAGCAAAAGCCAAGCGAAGCTTATCTTTGTTCTTCTTTCTTCGATGATTCGCTGGCTGCTGCTGCTTCTGCTGTTGCTGTTGTTGTTGTTGTTGTTGCGCCTCGCCCCATAATGTAATAATAATTGTTGCTTTGGTGTAAAACATTTTTCAAATCTGCCGAACCTTAAAAAAGAGAATACCTTCGACCCGAACCGGAATCTGAGTCCGTCCAGGCCTCTCCTCACGAAGAGGGTATACCGACTTTGGTTAGACGTTTGCCACACAGAGAAACGAAGCTTAAGAGAGAGAGAAATATCTAAAGAGAATCCCAGCAAAACTCTTCTGTCTTCTGTTAGGGTATTAAAAGCATCGACTTTGAAGGCAAACTTTTTCTTTGGTTTTATTTATTTTATTTTTATTTATGTATGATAATTTATTGCATTTTTTCAATACTCTTCTTCGGTTTCGCCCCATTGTTTTTCATGCCCTGTTCTCGTTTTGTTTCTCTTTTTGTGTGTGTGTTCTTTTGCCGCTTTTGTTTATCGCATTTTCTTCACACTTTTCTGCGCTTTATTGTTTTTGTATGGCACTCTCTCCCACTCTCCCGAACGGAACCATGAAGAGAGTTCAACGGGGTTCATCCGCAGGCAGTAAGGGAGAGCAAGCAAGACAGAGACAGAGAGAGAGAGGGAGAACGAGAGAGGGGCGCTTGCAGAAGATGCAGGCGCATTAAAAATACACTCGCGAGCATAAGTATGTACCCCTTCCCTACCCACAGGCATGCCTTCATACACACACACACAAGCGTAACGAGTATATGTGTGCTTGTATGTATAAATAAGTAAATCTTTGCCATATACAATATGAAGAGAGCTCGCCAACAAATTGGCAATGCCCACAAACGGCTGGCCGACGACATGTGTGCGCCAGCTGCAGCCTGGAATGGGATGGCATTGGGGCTGGGAGGAGGGGCAGCGAACAAAAAATCACGTATAATAAATGATTGGGCGTAAAGATTAGGCCAGAGGCGATCAACTGAATGCGCTGTAGCGAAAAACTTTAGAAAAAGTGCTAAATATAAATGGGGACGGGACTCTGATCGAATTAAGCGATTCCGATCTAAACGAATACCAAAGGCCTTCAGATCTAAGTGACAGTGCGAGAGGCAGAGAAAACTAATGCTGTTTCGAGTAATGGAAGAATTCAGATTCAACACTTATTAAGTTTTAATTACTGAAACACAGTAAGTAACAATTTGATCATTTACCGATAGCTTTACCCCTCTGTAATGCCTCCAAATATGAGGCGTAATCGATTGCGATCTATGTTCTAAATACTCGGGACCTACATATCGTCACACCGGATCAGTGAAACATTCCAACAGCGAATTCTTGTTGATTACTCTTTGTTCTCCCCTTGTTATCCATCTCGTTCTGCCGCACGCACGCACACACACCTCAAACAATTGCAGTGCACAATGAAAATGGAGAAGAATGGGAGAGCTCGGGGCAGAGGAGAGGCAGGAAAGGAACTGGACAAAGTGCAAATTACAGGGAGCTCGTGCTGATTCATTCAGAATTAGCCTCGGCACGCTATGCTCTTTCTCTATCCCCATCTCCCTTCCTCTCACTCGGAGAGTGTTAAGTGCTGCGCTGCGCTGCTCTTGTTTGGCCAGGCAAAACCGCAACCGCAGTCGCAGCCGCAGTCGGCGTTGCATCAGCGGCAGCGGTGCTAATTAGCAGCTCATCAAATTGCCGCATGCAAAAAGTGAGCCAAAGAGCGAACGCCGAAGAGAGTAAGAGAGAGAGAGATTTTTCTTGGGTGTAGTGTTGGGTATAAAAACGAAGTTAGAAGAAGTGGAGGGGGTAAGTGCAATCGTAAAAAGAAAGGAAGAATAGTTTCGGGTGACGATTCTTTTGATACCCTTGAAGAACAATCGATCATATTTATGGGATGTACTCCACCGTACATACATATGTATATGTATATGTATGTGTAAATAGCGGTTAGACGGTTCCATCGGAACAGCCGACTATTATAAAAGTTCGACTAATCGCAACATTTGTGCCTAGCAATGCTACCCTCTGCCAGGGTATACAAATATTATTGAATTCGAAGAGAAAGACAGATAAGGGAGTCACGGAGATGGTCAAGGAAGAGAAGAACGGCACTATAAAACGAAATTGGAAAACGGGTTCACTGTGTGGGGGGGCCTGTGGAAATTGGCCAATCAAGCGACAATTGTTGGCCATTTGTGGTCGTAAGTACTTAATAACGGTAAACGGGTCAGCGGGTCTGTCTAGTGGACAGCTCTGATTAGCATACGCCACCGACTGCTGACCCCTCCCTCCCCCTGGAACAGACCCCTGCGGCTATTAAAATGAACTGACAGATAATTGAAAATCAAAAAAATAGAAAAGAAAGAGGGGAAGGGAGAGGGGGAGGGCGGGAAGGAAGAGCTCTAAACAGAAATCAATTGGAAGAAGGCAAATTGCCTGACAACTGCAGACCAAAAAGCAATGGGAGACGGCCTCCTCGGATATTGTCTGTGGCTGTATGGTTGAGTGTGTGCAATGTACAGCTATCACTCCCCGTACACATGCCGGGCTACACTCGCAGAAAAAGATTGTGCTTAAGTGTGGAATTCTGGGGGGAAAAGAACGTTTTTGGAACCTATTTTTCTGAGTGCAGGAAGGTATGAATATCCATCAAAAATAACCTTTATTTGCCTTCTAGACCTTATGTAGATAGTCTAGAGTGGCTCGTGACAGCATGGGGCTCGTACCTGGGATAATCTTCATTATTCAGAGCCCATTCAGTGGGCATAATAGACGATTCGTCTGTGCCGCTGATAAAAAGTGAAAATGTTCAAAGTTCGAGTGGAGTGGAGTGAAGCTAGCTGTCAATAGAAGAATAGATTGTTGGGCTGCCGGAAGAACGGCGTGGGTCTTTTATCCGACAGCGGAAGTAGGGCTTAGAACAGTTACTCGTTGGCTCAAGAGAGAGATATTTTATACATACATACATATGTCTTATGGGGAAACCAAGAAAGATACACAAATATGAACGCTTTTATATTGAAAGGGAAAGGGAATGTGTGAGACTATACAAAGTTTATTATTACAGACAGTTCTCAGATCCATAAACCATCTCGTGGGCATTTATGTTGCTATTTACTGTAAAACGGAGTTTCTCTGCCCGAGAAAGAGTACATTACGTGCCATTAACATCGGGTCTTTGAGAATGTACTCGTATGCCTGCATGCATTTCATGGCACTCGTCTAAACAAATAGTCCGGTCCGCCCCTAGAGCTTTCAGTGCAGATTTTCAGATACCTCTCCCTTACGAACATCTAATTTCCCTGCTCTGGAGAATTTTATAGCTTCCTGGAAGGCCTCTCGTGCAGCAGAGCACACGCCACCTACCGTCGCCGCAGTCTAAACAAACTCCGAGCGAGCCCCTGCTCCCCTACTGCCCCATAATGAGCGTGAGATTCTCTGATAACCCACATCCGAGGGGGCGGCCGTCCGCCACTTGGGCTCCCGGTTTGTTTATCCGACCGGGCCCCCAATCGGCTCTTATGAATGGCCCACATTGTGCGGCGTGAAATAAAATCACTTGTTTGTTTATTCGGCCAACACTTGGAGTGCCGTTAATTTGTAAGCCAAATAGACGAGAGGGACCCACTGCAGCAGCGGCTGGCGAACAGAGCTGAACAGGGCCCGAAAATAATGACAGTCATGGCTAAGGTCAGTGCACTGGGACTCTGGGATGTATTACGCTACATGCGCATGCACCGCAAAAGCAGGACGAGGCAGGACCAGGGAGGACCAGGGAACCAGGCCCTGCGAAAAATCAATAGAGCCGGGCCCCAGTGCACGTGCTACAGTCTGGTCTGCCGTAACCGTGGGGCGGACGGGAGGGGGCGGACGGCTCAATTCGCTGCAGAAAAGCCGAGCCGAGACCCAGCCCCAAAATTTGCGGCCGGGAATTGTGTCACTTAACTGTCGGCGAATTGCGCAGCCCATGATTTTGTTTGTGGTTTCTCTGTATTATTTGGCGACTCGTCATCCGGTGGTTCATCTGTGGGGCATATGGATCCGCGGATCCCCACTTCTGCTCAAAATTTGCTAAATTATTTACATAATTTACGTTGTAAATAAATTTTCAAGCCCCGATTTCGTGTTCGTTCTTGTTCGCCTTGCTCGCTGGCTCTCTCTCTCTCTCTCTGTCTCTCCTACTAAGCGGTAAAATGTCAACAAAACACAGCGAGAGAGAGAGAGACTCGACTCTCTCGCGGGCTCTCCCTGGTATTCTCTGTCTCTCTCTCTGACTCGTTTTGAGCGAATTTATCTTTGGGCTGTTTTTTCTTTTTATTGATTTCTTGAAAGGTACACAAAATGCGGAATAGCAACAACAACAACAACAACAACAATGCGCGGAACAAAGACAACAGCAAAGAGTGGTAGAAAGAAGAAGAAGAGCGCGAAGAGGAGCACTATTCCACGACTTTTTTGTTGGTAGAAATACAATCATAATGCATATTCATGGGAGATTATATCGGATTCTTCAGTTATTAGAACAACATTTGACACAATTGATGGCCTGAGGTTCTTTGATATTAATGATTTATCAGGCACACGCATTTGGTCCGCCTTTCCAAATGTATAAACATTACAACCACACTATATTATATCTTTCTGTGAATATGGTTCTTAGAGTTCGGTTCTGCGTTGCTTATATGGTGGAAAACCAGCGCATATCGTTCTGTACTTATAGATGGTTTCGCAGTACGGAAAAAAGGCGGCTGCTGCGCAAAGAATCCGTTTTTTTTCCTATGAGGCACACACAAAACACAAGCAGTTTAGAGGGTTTC